GTGCCTGGTGCGATTCCCGTTCCTGGGATCCCAGGTTTTGCCCGCTGGAGGGGGTCCTGGGATTCCTACAGGAGCTTTTCGACAAGGGGAGGGCTGTCGCTACCTTGGCGGTGTTTGCGGCAGCCATTACTTCAGGTCACGACGGGTTCGGGGGGTTCACAGGCCCGCTCTCACCCGTTGATTAAACGTTTTCTGCGGGGGGCGCGCAGGAGGAGGCCCCCGCTCCAGAGAACGCCTCCGGTTTGGGACCTCAGGGTGGTCCTTAGGGGGCTGTCGGGTTCGCCTTTTGAACCGGCGGCGGAGGCGAGTCCCGATTGTATCGCTTTTAAGACGGCCCTCTTGCTGGCGTTGGCGTCTGCAAAAAGGGCGGGCGATTTGTGTGCGCTCTCAGTCCATGCGTCGTGCCTGTCCTTTGGAGAGGACGACGGCATGGTGGAGTTGTGGCCCAATCCGGCTTTTCTCCCCAAGGTCATCACGTCGGCCTTTAGGTCGAGAGTGATCAGGATTAGGGCTTTCCACCCGCCGCCGCATGCCTCCCCCGAGGAGGAGCGGCAGCACCTTCTGTGTCCTATCAGAATGCTGAGGCATTACCTGGCCATGACGTCGTCATTCAGGTCGGGTGATCAGCTGTTTGTGTGTCTGGGCCCCAAGAACAGGGGCGCCCCGCTGTCGGCTCAGCGGCTGGCGCATTGGGTCGCCACGGCGGTGCGACGGGCGTATCAGGCGCAGGGCCTGGCCCCCCCGGTGGGTTTCAGGTCGCATTCCACGCGTGGGATGGCGGCCTCTACGGCCCTTCTCAGGGGGGCGTCGGTCGAGGACGTTTGCCGTGCGGCTTCTTGGGCGTCGTCCTCCTCTTTCGTCCGGTCTTATCTTTCGGATGTGTCGGACCGGTCGGTGGCCCATTCCGTGCTGAGTGCAGCGGATTGAGTTGGACCGTTGGGTCCCTCCCCTGAGGAGTGGGCCTTCGGTCTATTTTTCCGCCCTGGTGCAGGAGCTCTTGGGAGAGGCATCCTACAGGTGCGGTACATATATGTGTGTTTGATCGGTCTGGTAGTCTACATCAGGAGCTCTTGGGAGAGGCGTCCTGTGACTACGGTTGACCTACGATTGGTGTTACGTGGGGGCGTCCTTGGTAGGAGTGGCCCGGTAACACGCTTTGTTTCTTCTGCCCTGAGTCCTCTCACGGTGTGAGGGTCTTGCTCGGGCGGAGCTCCAATCACCCTTCGCTGGCCTGCTGGGAGTACATGTTCCTACGGCCTCCGCGTTGTGTCCCACTAGCGAAGTCCTAAGGGACGTAGCACCATGACGTAGAATTAATAGTTACCTAATGTAACTTAAGTTCTACGAATAGGTGCGTAGTCCCTTAGCTACGAGCCCATCAGGCCAGCCCGGCTTGGCAGAGTTCAAGAGGGGGTGCGGCCTTGTGCAGGGGCATTTATAGAGGAAGGTGGCTGGTGATTGGAGCAAATTATTTTGATCTCTCTGGCGTCTGTGACCTGGGGGTCACGTGATATCCCACTAGCGAAGTCCTAAGGGACTACGCACCTATTCGTAGAACTTAAGTTACATTAGGTAACTATTAATTCCCCACCTGCTGCACTGTGTTCAGGGAACAGCCCAGGACAGACCTGGATGACCTTGTCCAGCTTCTTCCTGTCCCTCTCTGTGATGCTGCGGCTCCAGCAGACCACACCGTACAAGATGGCTGATGCCACCACAGAGTCATAGAAGGTCTTCAGGAGTGGCCCCTGCACTCCAAAAGACCTGAGCCTCCTCAGCAGGTAGTCGGCTCTGGCCCTTCATGAAGAGGGCGTCTGTGTTATGAGTCCAGTCCAGTTTGTGACGTCTACAGAAATCCTTGGTCTTCCCGACGTTCATGAGGAGGTGGTTCCGCTGACACCAGTCCACAAAGTCCTGTGTGACTCCTCTGTACTCTGTGTCATCGTCCACTGTGATGAGTCCGATGTTGTCAGAGATCTTTTGTAGGACACAACTGTTAGTATTAGATAGCAATATAGCCTACGTGCAGGACTCTACAAGGACTCTGATTATTTTGACTATGATGTGACTGTCTCTTCGTGACACGTATGTCTTTCGATGTGTGACGTGACAATGACTATATAAACTGTGTACTGACTCCATTTTGTCTGAGAGGAGGAAACAATGGAAACCACTGGAACTTGAGAGAAACTTAAATAAACTTCCAGAGTTTGGCGCACCACGATCCGTCTCTGTCTGCTTCATCCCTGACACAACCATCCGTGTTGTGTCTGAAGTCTGCAGTGTACTGTTCCTGGAAGAACCCACACTGCAGGTCAGGACCAGGTCAGGACCAGGTCAGGACCAGGTCAGGACCAGGTCAGGACCTGCAGGACCTTGGTGTGGCAGACCTGGATCCAAGATCAGGACTTGCAGTGTAACAAAAGCGACAAAAACATAGTTTACAAAAAAGTTAGTTTCGTAATAACGCACCAAATATACCTCAATTGCTGAGTATTTGTTCTCTAATGCTTGTGAAAAGAGGATTGTGACAAAGGAAAGTATTGATTTTGGACAGATTATTATTCCTTGCTTAACTGATATATAATGCAGTGATGATAAATAAAACACTATGGTATTGATCACTACAATGACTGCACAACTACTGGAAAGGTCTCTGTGTTTCTTCTTTTTTCCTCACAAACAGGAACTTGAGGCTAGGACTGAGAGGTTACGTGAACACTGACGTCTCCAAGTCGGAATTTCTTCTTTAGCAAATTACAATAAAAAAAACACTATATTAACACTAAACACTAATAAGGTTTTTGTCTATTTCTGCGTGGTCTACATGTAGAAGTGACTGGTTGCGTTCTTGGAAAAATACATATATAATGCATTCATAGACATATAACATGTTCCACGTGGCTCGTGCCTGTGACCTACATTCATCTGCATAAACAGGTCCGGGACTGTCCAACAGCTACCCCTGCTGGCCAATGTGTCTCAAGACAAGATGTTTTATTTATCTATCTATCGATCTATATGGATATATATTATTTGTAGTATAATGACAAGATAGTATAATTGTCGTTATGTGTAACTGTAGTACTTATATTCAACTGACTGTAAATTCAGGCTAATTTCAGAATGCCTCGAAGTGGATCACAAGACGACATGAATATACAGACCCATCACTTTTGGATGAACAGTTTACATTGGGTAAGGTAAAACCCTGTGTCTCCAAAATACAGAAAAGACTATAGGATAAACTGGTGGGAGAACTTTTGCAGCAAAGAGTGATGCAGCTTGGATGAGAATCAGTTACAAATCTGAGGCCATGGTGCTCAACTGGAAAAAGGTGCCTTGTAGAGGTCCTTCCTCAAGTCATCATCTCATCTCAGGTCTTGTTCTCAGTGAGAGAAGGATGGAGGTTGGTAGTGAGACAGATTGATGTGATGAGGTCCCCGTCTCGGACTCTTGCGGTGAAGCAGGAGCAGCGTCTCCTGTCTCAGCTCCTGATTTCACGCTCAGTCTACATTTCTACCCTCACCTTTGATCATGAGCTTTGGGTAATCCCCCACAACCCAGCAACAGATAAAGCAGAAGAAAATGGAGGGATGGAAGTTCTACATGCAACTAATTTTGACATTATTGACACAATAAAGCCAAGACAGTCCTCAGCTTGTAGCTCAAACAAACATGTGTGGCCAATCTTTATTCAGTCTGTTGGGAATCTTCCTTTTATTAAATTTATTATGTGAATTTGGCTTGAACATAACAAAAAACAGCAACATACAAAAACAACATTATAATACATTTCCAGCAGGGTTTTCCTGTTTCTGAACCGTGTCCTGAGTCGGCTCTCCAAAACTGCCCCATGTGTGTCCACTTTGTGTGCTCCTGCTGAGGCTGGGGACACTCATGTTGCTAATGTCGAGAATAATGCATTTCCTTAATGGAACACTTTTGAGTTCAACATAAACAGTAAAATTGTCTCAGCAGTCTTTCGGCTCCAAAAAAAATTCAATTTGTAATGAAAACGAGTCATGCATTTTCATTCCTTGATTAATCTTTATAGTCCAGAGACTGGTGTGGGTTCTGAGACGTCAAAACAGCACAAGCTGTTATTAAGACTCTTTCCTGCTCAGTCTTGGCCCCTCTATAAACTAAACGCAAAATACTCAGTATTATTTTCTTCTTTGTATTGAGTTTTATATGATTTTTCTTCTTTTATTTTTTTATCCCCAAAGAAATATGGCACACAAAAGTCCATATGTGAAGGCCAAGTATTCTGCATTTGTATCAACTCAATGGCTGCATCCAAACCATAGGCTGTAGAAGTGACTGAGTGTTTGCTAAGTGCAGAAGAGGCAGATTAGACCTAACTTGAAACAGGCCATTTGAGCAGGAACGTGGAGCCAAATGTACGCAAATGTTGTTGGTAGCAACAATCTAGTTACCAAGTGCCAATCCAGAGTGGCACCAGTCTCTACCCATTTGCACTATTCGCTGCTAAAGCCGAATTTGGCGAGGGCTCATACTGGATTTACAAAGAAAATATCACAATATCAACACCAGGTGTGTGACACAGACTGTTACTGAGCTAGAGAAGTTTAATTTTCAATTTAAGTCAATGAGAGCCAGAGCTAGTGGGTTAGCATTGTCCATCTATAGACAAGTCATGAGAAACATGGTTTGAAATTTCCCGTAGCCAAACTTGGAGCTACCTTTCCTGGGTTTTAAAATGTTCCCCATGTATGAAACAGGCTAATACAAAGGGAACACTTTAAAGCCCAGATTGGAATGACTGTTTTAAAGATTTTCAATAGAATTCAAATGCAGCCATTTGGTTAAGGGTTATAACCAAACACATTGGGGCCACTGTTGAGCTGCGCCGGCCTGGTCCTCGTGGTGCCCAGTCCCTCAGCCCTGCTTTTTGTTCTCCTCTCCTTTCCTCTCCTCTCTTCTCCTCTCTCGGCCACTCTGTCGGGCCTATGCGCCCTCTGGTGGTGGGGGCACGGTTAGGACATGACTCCGAACACTGGGTTGTGGCGGCAGATGCTGGGGCCAATCTCCTCGTAGTCCTTCTTGGTGTGGCAGACCTGGTAGAACTCCGGCTGAGGAAAGGAGCAAAAAGAGGAACACCTTTATTCACAAACTAAATATCAATCCAATCCACTTTATCCCTTTGCATATAGCACAGAGCGTTTCCAATTAGCTGCACAGGGAGTGAGAAGGTAAAAAAAAAAGTGGTTTTTCCAAAATCGCTGAGCCCCAGTTCCAAATTTCTATTTTAAGTTGTTGTTGAGTTGTTTGTATTAGGAATCTTTGAGTACTTCAGTCTACTGCAGTGGCCCTTTACCGGCATCTCTTCGTACGCAACTACCATCGGCAAATGTAATTTTAATTTGCCGATGGCCAATGATAGTTAACAAGGCAAATATCGGCCGATACCGGTGTTCGGCTGATGCATCGGTGCATCCCTAGTTCAGAGCGTTTCAACCCAACTCCTTGGTTTGACAGCTTTCAGTGGAGAGGCGCAATTTAAATGATGCATCAATAACTCTTAACAGTGTAGTGAGGAGGCAGAGAGTTGTACAGGGTTGGTGACTTTGAGGCATCTGCAAGTGAAAAACAGAGATCCATGATTTGGGATCTTTTTGATTTTATTCAACCAAACAAAGTGTTGTCTCAAAGGATTTTTTGGTTCCAAACAAGAAGCCGCCTGAAACTGACAACTGTTGAAAAACTTGAATAAAAACTTACTAACTTACTAACTGCTGGATAAAGTGCAGTTTCTTTGTTTCTGTAAATTGTTGCATAGATAGGAATAAGTCTACAGTCAGCAGTGTGTGCAGTACTCACAGTGGAGGCGAGCATGGATCCTCCGAACCACACGGCGTATCTTTGCATGTGATGAGTGATGACCTGTACGTCGATGGGTTTGGGCTGTGGACACACAATATCAACACTTTTGACTCATTTTAAATGACAAAGACCTGCGGTTTGAGCCCTGAAAGAGTAAAGTGTGTACTTTTAATTAAGGGCAATAACAGGAAAAACCTATACAAATAAATACATATAAATAAATAGAAAATTATATCGGCTTGTTTTTACGGCTCAGTTATGTGTTGCACATGTAAAAAAGTATACACTTCCAGGCAAATTTTTACCACGTTTTGAATGATGAAACAAAAACTGTTGTTTGAAGTTAATGTCAAATAAAACTGCTCAAGTGATAATGAGCTTAGAAACTCTTCTGACCCTGATCAGAAGTCTCCATCCCCCAGTTCTCAAGAGTTTAGTGTTAATTTAAAACACATCTATACAAGTTAGATTTCTACAACAGGTCAAATTTGCTCCTTTTTATGACTTTTAAATGTAATTACATGTCATTTCATTGTCTTCCCCTTCATTAATCCATTTCTGGGTCGGGGGGGAGGCAATCTACCCAAGTCTCATAGCACCAGTCTCTCGCTGATCCTCCTGCAGGTGGTGGGTCCACGGGAAGATGGCTTCTTCGTTATTGAAGACATTGGCCTTGGTCTTTCAGCAGAGGCAGCAGGCAATGTGGGGTAGAGTGTCTTGCCCAAAAAGTGTAAAGAAGCTCATACTGCTTAATTACCACATGTTTCGGTGGAAGACTTCAGCTATTATCAGAGGTCAAAGGTGATAGTGTGAAGTTTCTCTGATCAGTCTGACGGAGCAGACTGATCAGAGAAACGTCACACCACGTCAGCAACCTTCTGTGCCCTTCGCTCTGAAAACAGCCCAGTGCTGTGGAGTTGCCATCACTGCAGAGCAGACTGAAGCGAACCTGGTCACACACATGACCAGTGTAAATTCTGCTGTTTTTCAGCCTTTTAAGTTGCAAGCATGAATGAAATGAAGCATGAATCAAAAGCAACACTACTGATCAAGGATGCCACCAAAAAAGGTGACGAGTGCTGCGGAGCAGGAACTGCTTGAAATACATCAATCGCTTAACTTTATGTCTGGGGAGATAAGCAAAGTGGCTCAGCAGCAAGAGAAGCTACTGGCCCTGCTTACTGAAGTGGCAGATCTAAAAAAGATCATCATTGCGAAAGACGCTAGAATCTGCGGACTGAAGCGAAGGATTGATGACTTGGAGCAGTACACAAGAATGGAAGACATAATTGTGAGCGGTCTGAAAACTACACACCGTAGTTATGCTCGAGCCACAGCCGCGGATGCTACACAGAGTGGCCAGGACGCGCCCGTACAGGAACAACACACTTTGGAGAGACAAATTGTTGCATTTTTGGAAAGCAGGAAAATCTCAGTTTCACCCGAAAGCATAGCTGCTTGCCACACGCTTCCAACAAAAAACAAAGACGCGAAACCAACCATCATAATGCGCTTTGTTAATAGGAAGCACAAAGTGGATCTGCTGCGTCAGGCTAAGATGCTAAAAGGCACCGGAGTTTATTTGAATGAACACTTAACAAAAAAGAACGCCGATATTGCCAGACATGCACGAAATCTCAGAAGACAAAATAAAATCCAAGGAACGTGGACACGGAACGGACAAGTGAAGATTAAGCTGGATGGTACGCCAGAAGAGGCCAAAGTTATCACTATCAGAGAGCTGAAAGACCTGGATCCATATCAATGAACTATTCCATGCTGACAGAATTCCGACACTTTGGTTTAATGGAAAAAATGAAAATAAAAAAATCCCATGTCAAACGCGCTGAGACAGTGATCACTTTTAGTTGGACTAAGTTAATTGAAACTGGACAAGAAAGAACATGGGAGTCACTTTTTCTGTTACTTTTTAATTTCAAAATGATGTTGGATTATGATATTGGATTCCTGTCGAAGAGATGGGCAAACAATATGACATTGGACACTAAAAGAAACGAAGAGAAATGGTCCATGACGCACGGATTACGCACAGCAAAAGGAGGTCAGGTGATTTTACGCACAAACATACAAGCAGGATCCTATGACCCTACGTCCAACTTAACATAAAATGACTAATTTGGAGCAAGACTTAGACCCGGAAAGACAATTCTACAATAATTTAGACATACAATGTGACTACTACACGGCAGAACAGTATAGGGAAAAAGTTAAAATGGATGGGAATTTGTCTGTAATACATATAAATAGCAGGAGTCTTTGGAAAAATATGACAAAAATTAGGGACCTGCTGCAATTACTCGATAAATTTAGTATCATAGCAGTATCTGAAACATGGCTGGATAATGGGAAAATTAGTGGAATGCAAATGGAAGGGTATGAGCTACACACAATACATAGAAAAGACAGAAAAGGTGGGGGTGTTGCTATCTACGTTGACTCAACACTGAACTTTAAATGAGTTAAAAATAAATCAATAGCTGTAGAAAATGTATTTGAATGTGTTACTGTTGAACTTGAATCAAAGCAATTCAAAAATATACAAGTTACCTGTGTATACAGAACTCCAGGATCCCCCATAGATGTATTTACTGAAAAAGTGAATCATTTGCTCAATGCCAATGGGCCTACTACTAAAGACCAAATAATATGTGGAGATTTTAATATAAATCTACTTAATGCACCAACTCATGAAAAGACCTGCGATTTTATTAATATGATGTATTGCAATTCCCTCCTACCAATTATAGACAAACCAAGCAGGATAACGACAGACACCACTACCTTGATTGATAACATATATACTAGTAAGATTGAAGGTAAAATAGTTGGTGGCTTGCTGATAAGTGATATAAGTGACCACCTTCCAGTATTCGCAGTCTACCAAAATTACACTTTTGAAAGTCAAACTTACAAGCCAGAATACAAACTAACACGTCGTTTAACACCAGGAAGATTAAATAATATTAGAGAAGATCTGGACAAAATGAACTGGGAGAACGTGTATTCACAGACTAACCCAAATTATGCATATGAATCCTTCTTCTCCAGTTTTTTGGCAATATACAATAAAAACTGCCCACTTAAAGAGGTAAAGACTTATCTAAATGTTGTCAAAAAGCCGTGGATAACTAGAGGGCTAGAAAACGCACGCAAAAAGAAAAATGTATTATATAAAAAGTGTTTACAACTCAGGACAATGGAATCTGAAATTAAGTACAAAAAGTACAAAAACAAGCTGATAAGCATAATAAGAAAGAGCAAAAAGGACTACTTTGATACTTTATTTGAAGAGCAAAAACATAATATCAGGGGTACTTGGAAAGTGATTAATAATGTTCTTAAAAGGAGAGAAAGCATGCCTGCTATCCCAAACTACTTTGTTCATGATAGCTCCAGACTTGAAACAATAAAAGAAATAGTCAATGGTTTCAACCATTATTTTGTAAACGTCGGTAATAAACTGGCAAAAAATATTGTTATGCATAAAAACCTATCTCCATGTGATGCAGTAAACAGAAATCCAAACACTTTCTATCTAAATCCTACAAATGAAACAGAGATAGTGAAAGTAGTAAACAAATTTCAAACAAAAACATCTAAAGACTCCTTGGGAATAGATATCAATCTTATTAAGAACACAATCAAATTTATAGCTCCACCGTTGACCCACATTTGTAATCAATCATTCAAAATGGGTGTATTCCCAGACTCAATGAAAATAGAAAGGATCTTTCCAGTGTACAAACAAGGTGATAGACACCTGTTCTCAAATTATAGACCAATTTCAGTTCTCTCTCAGTTTTCAAAAGTAATAGAAAAAATATTTGTGCACAGACTAGATACATTCTTAGACAAATATAACCTCTTAAGCGATCATCAATATGGTTTTAGGAAAAACCGCTCCACCTCAATGGCCGTTATGGAGCTGGTAGAAAATATATCAAAATCAGTAGATTCAAAGAAATACAGTGTGGGTGTCTTCATTGACCTTAAGAAAGCTTTCGATACTATAGATCACAACATTCTATTACAGAAATTAGAAAAATATGGACTTCGAGGACTATCACATTCATGGATACAAAGCTACCTACAAAACCGATCGCAATATGTTGAGATATATAATAAAAAATCAGAACTATTAAATATTACCTGTGGTATCCCTCAGGGATCAACGCTTGGGCTAAAACTTTTTATTATTTACATTAATGATTTAGTTACAGTTTCAAAAGCACTGGATTATGTCCTGTTTGCGGATGATACTACTCTTCATTGTGCAGGTGATGACATAAATCAGCTCATAAAATTGGTGGAGGTGGAATTGCATAAAATTAAACTCTGGTTTGATATCAACAAATTATCACTAAATATTGGGAAAACTAAATATATAATATTTGCAAAGCGGAACATTTCAAACCACGTTGAAATCAATCTAAATAACACTCCCCTGGAACGAGTCTATGAGAACAAGTTCCTGGGAGTGACTATAGACCATGTGCTCAGTTGGAAGTCACACATAAATAATATTAGAAGTAAACTGTCTAAAGTAATAGCAATAATATATAAATACAGATATATCTTAAATAAAAAGAGTCTACTTATTATATATAACTCATTAGTAATGCCCTATATTACATATTGTATTGAGATATGGGGCAACACTTATAAAAGTAATACTAAACCAATTTTCATACTGCAAAAAAAGGCAGTAAGAGCAATTACATTATCAGCCAACAAATGCACTGTTTATACATTTACAAATATTAAAATTCTATGATTTAGTCGACCTTTATAGTTTGATAGTAATGTTCAAGATAAAAAATGACCTTCTGTCTGAACCACTACAGAAACTGTTCACAATCAGAGACAGTCATTATGAACTGAGAGAAACAGACATGTTCAAAAAACAAAAATGTAGAACTAATGTAATGAAAAGCTGTTTGTCTATTAGAGGGATTGATCTCTGGAAGGGATGCACAAACGAACTTAAAACCTGCAATTCACTGTACCACTTTAGAAGGATGTTTAAAACTATCATTTTGGATGGCTACCTGAACTCAGATTTCTGATGTTGATATAGTTGCTAATTTAAATGCTATTGTTTACATTCACTTATACTAATGACACCTGTAAAAAGGGTAGGCAATATAAGCATTAGCTTCAGCCTACTCCTTTTCGGTCTTTGTTTCTGCTGTAATTTACTATCCTGGCGATGTGTAAAATGCACAAGTGACCGAAATAAATAAAAAAAATATAAGAAGAAATAAACTTGAACATAATGACAGCTTGGAGTTTGTTGCGGAAGTTGTGTATGATGTACAGTATTTTCTCCACTGAAAAAAGCCTCCAGTTCCTGTAACTTCCATGGCTGCCTTATATGAACTCTGATCTCTTCAGAGCGTCTCAATGTTTTAATTTGAAAATAGAAGTAAACGTTCCAATATAAGAAGAAAAAAAAGTTTCAACATTCATTATCTCCAAAAAATGACCTGTTATAGAAATCTAACTTGTATAGATGTGTTTTAAACACACACCCAAACGTTTAATAGTGTGATATTGGTGAGTGCGAATGTGGGACAACGGATGGAAATTAGCCCATGGCTACAATCCGGAGTGATGTGTTCATTAACATGTACTGTCCCAACCAAATAAACAATAAATAAAATAAATAAATACAATTTCTGAGCCTCACCTTGAGTTTTCCCCCGCTCAGCTCCTCACTGATCTTGAGCCGTGCGTCCACAGACCTCTTCAGGTCCCTCTGCAGGCGCCGGCCGAAGTCCCGGAACATTGTGGAGCCTCCGGAGAGCACTACGTTCTGTGCCACACACCAGAACAACAGTTTAGATCAACAAAACTCTAGGGAAAAAGCAAAAAGTCTAAATCACTGTTGGTTTTTTTCTGCCCTTATGTGCGCTTCTACCAATACAAGCACATTTAGGTCTCTTTTTTTCTGTTTCTGATTTGAGAATTCACTCAGATCTAGTTCCCTTGATCCAGGTCTTATTAATCAGCAATAGGGGATTTTTTTATGAGCACAATTAAAATAGCTAGAGGAGTTTACTTTTTGATGTCAAGTCAATAGGAGCCAGAGCGAAACAAGACTTTGTCCATGAGAACTTCTCTATTGAGCTTCATTGAGCTAGCAGGCTCATGTCTTCCATTCTAATTCCTAGGTTTGATAAGAGCCATTTCCCTTTCCCTTCTTCTTTTTCTTGCACGCTAACCGTCTTTCTGCGGCAGCCTCACACAGCTCACCTTGTAGAGTGGGCGCCTGACGTCTATGGGGCAGTTCTGGATCACCTCATCCACCACCTCCGAGATGGGCTGGGTGAAGTCCGGGTTCGCAAACTGATGGGAGAAACAACAAACGCATACCGCAAATAATATGAGGAGTTGTATTTGACTACTTATAACAGGCTTCAGTGTGTCTCGGGCGCCTGTCTCGGGCGCCTGCGTCTGTCTCGGGCGTCTGTCTGCATGTCTGTGTGTATGTCTGTGTGTATGTCTGTGTGCATACCTCAGGGTGGAAGAAGATCTCTGGCCCCAGAAATCGCTCGTAGCCAACATCGATGGTGAACTCCTTCTTGCTGATGGAGTTGATGCCTGTGTACTGCTTGATCCACTTGGAGCCGTCCGTGTCGTACTTGTTGAACTCTTTCACCAGGTCTGGGCACACGTAGCTGAAGCGCTCCTGGGAACAGAGACCAGAGGGGTATACATGGAGGATCACACCACTGTTGTCAATTACAGCACAGGGTTTAAACATTGGGTTGAACCCATGGATCTACAGTGCCTTGCGAAAGTATTTGGCCCCCTTGAACCTTTCAACATTTTGCCACATTTCAGGATTCAAACATAAAGATACAAAATTTTAATTTTTTGTCATGAATCAACAACAAGTGGGGCACAATCGTGAAGTGGAACGAAATTTATTGGATAATTTAAACTTTTTTAACAAATAAAAAACTGAAAAGTGGGGCGTGCAATATTATTCGGCCCCTTTACTTTCAGTGCAGCAAACTCACTCCAGAAGTTCAGTGAGGATCTTTGAATGATCCAATGTTGTCCTAAATGACTGACGATGATAAATAGAATGCACCTGTGTTTAATCAAGTCTCCGTATAAATGCACCTGCTCTTTGATAGTCTCAGGGTTCTGTTTAAAGCGAAGAGAGAACCATGAAGACAAAGGAACACACCAGGCAGGTCCGAGATACTGTTGTGGAGAAGTTTAAAGCCGGATTTGGATACAAAAAGATTTCCCAAGCTTTAAACTCAAGGAGCACTGTGCAAGCAATTATATTGAAATGGAAGGAGTATCAGACCACTGCAAATCTACCAAGACCCGGCCGTCCCTCCAAACTTCCATCTCAAACAAGGAGAAGACTGATCAGAGATGCAGCCAAGAGGCCCATGATCACTCTGGATGAACTGCAGATAACAACAGCTGAGGTGGGAGAGTCTGTCCATAGGACAACAATCAGTCGTGCACTGCACAAATCTGGCCTTATGGAAGAGTGGCAAGAAGAAAGCCATTTCTCAAAGATATCCATAAAAAGTCTCGTTTAAAGTTTGCCACAAGCCACCTGGGAGACACACCAAACATGTGGAAGAAGGTGGTCAGATGAAACCAAAATCGAACTTTTTGGCCACAATGCAAAACGATATGTTTGGCGTAAAAGCAACACAGCTCATCACCCTGAACACACCATCCCCACTGTCAAACATGCGGTGGCAGCATCATCGTTTGGGCCTGCTTTTCTTCAGCAGGGACAGGGAAGATGGCTAAAATTGATGGGAAGGTGGATGGAGCCAAATACAGGATCATTCTGGAAGAAAACCTGTTGGAGTCTGCAAAAGACCTGAGACTGGGACGGAGATTTATCTTCCAGCAGGACAATGATCCAAAACATAAAGCCAAATCTACAATGGAATGGTTCACAAATAGACGTATCCAGGTGTTAGAATAGCCAAGTCAAAGTCCAGACCTGAATCCAATCGAGAATCTGTGGAAAGAGCTGAAGACTGCTGTTCAAACACTCTCCATCCAACCTCACTGAGCTCCAGCTGTTTTGCAAGGAAGAATGGGCAAGAATTCCAGTCTCTCGATGTGCAAAACGGATAGAGACATACCCCAAGCGACTTGCAGCTGTAATTGCAGCAAAAGGTGGCGCTACAAAGTATTAGCTCAAGGGGGCCGAATAATATTGCACTTTTCAGTTTTTTATTTGTTAAAAAGGTTTAAATTATCCAATAAAATCCGTTCCACTTCACGATTGTGTCGCACTTGTTGTTGATTCTTGACAACAATTTTTATTTTTATATCTTTATGTTTGAAGCCTGAAATGTGGCGAAATGTTGAAAGGTTCAAGGGGGCCGAATACTTTCGCAAGGCACTGTATAACAATAACTGGATAGGATATTACTAGCTTATAGCTGTCCCACTTATGGGCTAAGGGGGCGCCCCGTGGTACTGCAGACTAAATTCACGTGGGCTACCCAAAAAAAGTCCCATAAAACTCATAAAACGAAAATTAAAACAGCTCGACCTCAGCTGACAGAAAACCTACAGCTTTCATAAAGATCGGATTTTGTGGGGATTTTAGTGTCCCTCTACCACTGCTTTGATCAGCAGCTCTGATTGGTCAAAGCACATCCAAGCCCATCTGTGCACGTGCATGAGAGCCACACACGTGTATTTGGCGCAACGCATCCTGGGAGCTCGTGCACTGCGCAGAACCGGGAGGACCAGACGATGCCCAAATATAGACGAGTTCTGCTAATCTTTGGGCCCTCCTGTATGCCCCATGCACTACTGAGCACAAGTCATTCATTTGAATAGGGCGCCATCTTGGATCACCGGGGCTTGGTTGAACCTCACACCTAGAGCAGTTATCTCTTTCTGCTTTCATGTAAACAGGAGGCATGAGAGCAGGTAGTCTCACCTTGACGGCTTTGGCGGTCTCCAGGCTCTGCTCTGGGGGGATTCCCACTTCGCGGTCTCGGAGCAGCTGCTGGGTGAAGTAGGTGATGTCACGGCCTGCGATGGGGATGTGCTTGATGCAGCTGCCAATCACATAGCCCTCAGCCTGTCAGGGTGAAAGAAAAAAGGCCTTTTAAAAGGGACATAAGCAACATTGTATCCCTGTTATATTACTGTTCCTCACCAAAAACGACTGAGTTGTTTTAGCTACATCCACGCTAATGTCAATAACTTCTGACACAAATCGTAGGGTTCTCGTCAGTGCTTTTTGACTGATTTATTTTACCCCATGCTTGTTGTTTTGGTTCTAGTTGCTCTAATTCATTGCCCCACAGCTGCTTCACCCACTACAGATGCTCCGTTGCTCTTGTTTCATTCAGAAAGAGAAAACTGAGCTCCGCATCAGCACTGGGTTCTTACGTCAGATCACAGCAGTGTGCGATTGATACAGTTTGTACTTTGGAAATCGACATTATAACAAAGGCATATGTCACTCCGTACTGAGTCTTTATCATGTATTAGTTTCACATTTTAAGTTGAGTTTCACCTGCAACTTCTGCATCATACTTGTTCTTTAACCACTTTTGTAGTTAGGTCATTCTGTTGTGAGCATGTTCATTGCACCTGGAGGCAATGAACGAATGTAAAGAGACAAAAAAGGTGTGTGTGTGTGTGATCCAGAACTCAGTGGATTATTTGCTGACTCAGAGCTGAACAGAACGCTTCATTGAAATAGTCCTGGTGTAGCAGAAAGTATGTTTGTGCAGAGTCACATCCTGCAGCTGACTGACCCACATTTTCCAACTTCATGTGCACAATCCTCTGTGCAGCAGATGTGGGAGGGCTCTTTAAGTAATGTTTATTTATATAGCCCATTTTACAGACCAAGGTCACCCAAAGCGCTTTACAATGTTCAGAGTTCAGATATTGTTCCAACCAAGCGAGTCGCCGAACACACTGGCGCATCAAAGCCCCCAATCAACACCATCCATTCACTCTCTCATTTACATTCATACCTATTGCGCATGTTTTTAGTGGTAGGGGAAACCGGAGCACCCGGAGGAAACCTACGCAGACAAAGGGAGAACATGCAAACTCCACTTTCTCAATTTCACTGATGTTCTTGTAATGATGTTCTTCACCATTCACAAAAGTAATGGTTCATGTTGAAATAAATAGCAAAAAATAGCCACAAGTGGCGATGAACTCCCTGTGAGTATTTCACCTCCTAACTCTAACCCTTTGTTTTACTTTTCAATGTAAAATGTACTAAACACATTTTTCCAAATACAAGAAGTCAAAATCTTTAGATGTGTGTGTTTAGATCCTGCATCTGCTCAGCACAGGCGTTTGAATACAGTATAGAACAAAAATACAATACGGCGTGGGTCAAATTGATACCCTCGGGTCAAAATGACCCACCAGATGTTTAATTTAGGTTATTTTTCTTCTACTTTGAGTCTAAAAGGATTAAAGCTAGAAAAAAAGCAAACAAATTATTGATGGTATATTTCAATCACTGTGGCGAGTCAATTTGACCAAAGAACACCCTAAGGGCTGAGTTCCGAAACACATTGAGCTGGTTTATGGCCAGGACTTTGACAACTGATTCAGCAAATAAGAACAATATGAAAAATGAGACGGCTTCAGTTTAAATGGTTTACCAATGCTCTGCGCTCTATCCGCTGTTGTGCACAATTTTATAGCCTATACAAGATTAGGAGGCCCTTCACAAACGTCGACGCGTTGAATACATTACCATAAATTACTACCAGTCACTCAGATACTCAGACACTTAAGACACAAACAGACACACAGGTGGATACTGACCACAGGGATGACGTGTGTGACTCCGTCCCCACTGTCGATCACCGTGCCGGTCAGAGTCCTCTCTCCCACCTGCCGGGACGTCCAGGAGGCAGCCAGCGCCAGGACCGCCTACAGACATAAATCAAGGTACATTTGACTTAAAGAGCGACTAAACACCAAATCAACTTTTTTGAACTCATAAACTGCATAAATATGTTTATTGTAGTGCTCTCTACATATTCTGGTCATTTTTTGACATTTTAGTTCAAATTGGATAAAATCTCGCTTTTGAGCCAAAAAACATCTGCGTGGCGCCCTCTCAACCTTTTCGGTGGTACTACGTTTGAATATGGTCCTGGCCTCTCCATTGACACTGTAATACTGTCTGACGTAATTTTGTATGTGTGACGTGCGTCTGTCTGCGCCAGTGATATAAACCCATTCAACTCTCACACACGCCCCAGCAGCAGGTTGGAGTATTCTGGCGACATCTAGTGGTTTAAAATTAAATCACTGCTGCTGAGATAATTGTGTGACTTGGGTACAGGTGTGTAGCTCTACAATTATCTTAGTGTGTAAACAAGGGTGGAATGAGACTTTCTGGTGTGTAAACTATTGCTTTAAGCAGCAATGACAACTGTCTTTTTTTTTTTTTTTGTGACAAGTGAGCAGTCCTCCAAGCAACGCCCTTTTAAGAGAAAATTTTGAAATGCTCAAGTGAGTGGAGTAAGGCTGGGCACAGGTGTTTAGTCGCTCTTCAAAAGACACCACTATTCAGTCTTTCTAATCACATGGAATGGAACGTTTGGGGGACTTATTTGTTTTGGGCGTCTCTAAACACTTGATGCAGACAGGTCTACATTCCCAGCACACAGGTGACCTTTGAACGTACTTGCTCCGACCACGATCACGACGTCGTACCTGCACAGCGATGTAGAGTCCTGGCACATTGAAGGACTCGAACATGATCTCAGCCGTGTACTCCCTGTTCTCCGGAGTGTTCAGCGGAGGCTCCGTCTGGAAAAATATACAAAGCACATTAAAATATACACTGTAACAACTGTGCAACATCTCTTGTGCCATCTCCTACTCAAGACTCTCTGGTTTGAGTCTTTAGTATGGCTTTGGTTTGAGCCTAGACACACCACTCCCTTTGCTTTTAAAAACTCAAAAAAATTGGGTGACTGATTTCATAAAAAGTTGCTTGCATCACATGGAGACGTCTTAATCTCCATCCACAGATCATTCTGTCGAGTTGATCTGACATATGCGTTTCCAGCATGAGGTTTCCTGATAAGGCGATTGTTTGTTAGTTAATGATATAAATAATATTTTTTTATTACTGTATCGAAGCTGATCAACAATGGTCCATCTATCCATCCATTTTATTCCCCTTAATCCATTTCTGGGTCGGGGGCGTGGCAGTCAGAGCGGCACCCAAGTCACAGAGTACCAGCACCTCACTGATCCTCTTGAGGTGGGTCCACAAGTGTCTTGCCCAAGGACACAATGATCAGCGGGAGTCGCTAGAGAAAGTCTTGTGGTGGGCTCCCACAACCTTCTGGCTCAAAGCCCAATGCTCTACCAACTTAGCCACTGTCGTCGCCACGCAGTTGGAATGTCTCAGAGTTATGTTCACTCATTACTAAGGATACTGTTTTGCAGTAATAACCAGTGGGGGCGGGTCCCGGCTCAAAAGTGGCCAAAATGATGTGCGCTGACATGCTGCAATACCACCCTGGGCCGATGGGGGTGGACTAGGGGCGTGACGATATATCAATTTTTCGAAATATCGCGATACTTTCTCCCACGATTCGATTATCGATATGCATTTGCCAAGTATCCATATCGATTTTGAAAAAATAAATAAAATATATATATATATATTTTTTTCTTCTTTTTAAAAAATTGGTATCAATACTTAATATATGGCTACATTACGCATTTCCATTCCATTTATCATGAAATAAAGTGTATTTTTTCTTTTATTTATGCCAGAAATTGGCATATTGTACATTTCTGACCAATATATCAATCGTCATATCGTGAAAAAATCGTTATCATGATATTATCGTTATCGTGAGCTTTGTATCGTGTATCGTATCGTAGCGTGAGGTACCCTTAGGTTCCCACCCCTAGGGTGGACCCAGAAGAAGAATTAGCCAATGCTAACATATAGCATACCTCTGGCAGACCTCTCGAAAACGTCTTTACAGGATGGTCCAAAAGTTGGCTCTTGGCCCAAAGGGGGGTGAATTTTTTTGGTCCACTCTAGTTTACTTGCTGTGAATTTTTGAAGTCTCTCGTTCAAATGAATGGAGCTGGCGCCGGCTGACGCATGCGCGGATGCGTTTTTTCACTTTTTTCTTGTGGGCGGGACCACTCGCGCCCATTTTGGATAGCTCCAGTAGAGCACAATTTTTGGCCCGATTAGATAGAACGCCGGAGATAGGCGTGACTACGTCCGTTAATTTTTGCAGCCTATGGTAATAAACAGGATTACCGACAAACAAGGCCAGAAGTGTCTGTTCAAATTCTATTATAATTTCATTTTTTGGCGTGAACAAGAGACATGTCTCCTGCTCTGAGGTGCGCCTCGATGTGGTGCGTGTAGATAGCCGCAACATACTGCCTCTCCATTACTGAGATAGTTATCGACAGGAGAATGGCACAAACACGTCCCACCTCACTTTCTGTTGAAATGCTATCATCGCAAACTCATAATACTGATGATAAATCCTCCAAGACTTCTATCGCTAGATAGATTATCATTACTCAAGATCATTTCAGACAATATTAGACTAAACACACCAGGATCGAAGAGAAACCAGGGATTTTAATGCTTATTGAGCTAGAGTAGACGAGTTTACTTTTCAATGTAAGCCATTTGAAAAGAAAGAGGCAGAAGGAGTTGGAGCAAAAATAAGTTAATGGGCACAGCTAGTGGGTTAACATTGTGTGTCTGTATACAGTCTATGGTCAGGAACCAGCTCGTGAGAAATGCTACTGAACAGCATGGTATGTCGTAAGTAAATACTCAGCATCATTGTGAAAGGGTGATATCAGTTGTGTCTAAAGCCAAAGCTGTGTGTGGTCTCTCACCAGGAGGAAGTAGTGGTCCTCTGGCTCTGCTCTCAGGTACTTGAAGATGATCTGCTCCATAAAGCGCTCCATCAGGTCCCAGTCCTCCACGATGCCATGACGAATGGGCCACTGGGACACAGGTCAGCAACATGAGCCAGATATTAGACACCACTTGGACGGTACACTTCACTAAAACTCAGTTTGAGGTTTGACCTCAAATCAAGTCTTCCACTAACTTAAAATGGTACTTTCTAGATGCAAATATGACACAAGTAGAGGTTGCAATCATAGCAAATACAAAATAAACATGGGCCAAAACTTGGCTTATTAATTCATTATTAAGAAAACGTAGGGATTAATCCGGTCCATCTTTAGTGGTTTCTCAAACAGAAGCCTCAAAACTTCAGACCTGAGGACGCTTTCAACGGCGCCTCGTAACTTTCCCTTTTTCCTCAAACTGTAACTGTTATTGTAAATAAAACAAAGGTTACGTCTGTAACCACGGTTCTATGAATCCCAGATTACTGCCAGAGGGCGGTGCATAGCACTGAATATTCCCTGCGCATGCGCGAAGGGAACATTCAGTGCTATGCACCGCCAGAGGGCGGTCAGGGGGGATGAAATAGAACTGCTCTCATACAGACATTATAAAAACGTAATCAGCAATTATAACCACACAGAATGTTTACTTTTGGAGTTTTATTTTCACACACAATCAGCTGCTGCAGCAGTTTCTGCAGTGCTCTTAAAAACACCATGATTCTGTAGAGTTTAGTTTTTGCTTCCTATAACAAAACAAAACACAAGCAGCGAGGGACTATGTCCTGATCCAATACAACAGTGTCTCCCAAAGTGGGGTCCGCGGCCCCCTGGTGGGCCGCGAGGGTACTGCAGGGGGGCCGCGGGAGGTCATAAAAAAAATAAAAAAATAAAATAATTATTTAATGTTAAATTTATAATGTTTTGTTTGTAATATTAAAATATTTGTGTTCATTATTTGACTTGAATAATCCACTGTAATCATTTTTGTATTACAATGTTTGTAGCAGAGGCTATTTCCCCAAAATAAAATAACCAGAAGAGCCTATTCTTAATGTTGTCTTCTTGGTTATTATTTTGGGGGGCCACGCAAACCCGTCAGATTTTTAAGGGGGCCTCGGTGTTACTGAGTTTGGGAATGGCTGCAATACAACATAAATGGGTCATCTGTACCCATCCAAATACATACATTTACAATACACGTCATCTCTTGAGGATCCGATTTACATGTTTACATGCAACTAGTGCGTGTCTGCTCCTCCAATCGGACTTCTTTTTCACTCCTCAATCGGCACACAAGTTCACATGCGTCTTTATCAATCGGATTAAAGTGGAGAAGGATTGGAGTTTCACAATTACATTGGAAACGTACACAACATTTTCACTATTAAATCAAGGTTTGTTGAGAGTAAACAGTGTCTCCTTCTGTTTTGGACCATTTTGAACCTCCCACATCTCCCACTGGTGACACGTTACCTTGGTGGAGTACGTGGGCTTGTCCACCGCCTCGTCTCCAATGAAGAAGTCCAGGTCGTCCACTCCCTTCATCATTCTGCGCTGGGCCTGGTCACCCACTTTGGCCGACTCTTTGATGGCAATACCTGCAAGAGAAAGAAGCTACATGTACAGAGTCCAACTTCAGAAGGACAAGTTAAGCTCTCATTGTTTTAGCTTTAGCCACACAGATATAAGGAACTTTTGTATTTGCCATCTGCATTCTACATTAGACACAACAGTTTATGCAGCAGTACTCACATGACGGAACAATGAATTGAGGCTCTGTGTTCCCGGCGTATCCCAGTTTGGTGTAACTGAAAGACACACACACACAGACCATGGATGTATTATATTATGTAGATAAAGTGTTGCTGATTAAACCCTTCTCCACATGGACAAGGGGCCTCCTATGGCACGGCAGCTTAAATTCACATGGACCGAAAGGAGATGTTTTCCACAGACTTTTTTGTAAACTAAAACGCTGTCCACAGTCGGCTCTGATTGGTCAGAACACTCATGTGTTAAGTGCTCAATGAAAGCAGAACAACTGCAGACCTACTGCACAAGAAGAACCAGAGCTGGCCAAAATGCATCACTTCCTCTAATGTTTGGGACATCCATGGTGCAAGCATGAGCCGATGAGCACAAACCTTTGATCTGAATGAACAGATATCTTGGAGACCCGGGGATTGGGACACAAACAGAAGCACATACATTAGCATTCAGTGGACAGCTTCGCCGCCTTCTTCTCCATCTGGCAGCAACATTTGGGCGCTAACAAAAAAATAACTAGTTTCCTAAGTATGTTTGAGTGCGTCAATGTTCAGAAATAAATTTGCAGCAAATTGTGACCGATCATAAAGGGAGCACTGCGCAGCAAACACAGACCAGATCAGCACTGCACCCTCATCCCTCTGTGACAGTAACAGTTGGTCCAGAATTCATATCGGAAACAATAATTCAATTAGAGCATAACAAGTCAATCGTAAAGATTTTTTTTTTTTTTTTTTTACATTTCATTGAGCTAGTGGGTTAGAACAATGTAGGAATTACAAATTATTACTGTATTGGGATAATTGGCTGCTCAGCTCTTGAGTGTCATTATAAAGCCAAAAATAACTTTATATTTATAGACCTCACTGTATGTTGCACTTCTGCTGGTGGAAATGTGACGATGCAGTGACTGTTTTCATAGTTGAGTAGATGGTCCTGTCACATCATGCCTTCATGCCTGTGCTTCAGGAAGGGTATGCTCAGCTCTGCAGGTCAGGCCTGTACAGGACTCTGCATACCTCTACACCACATACCCACACTGACAACATTTGAGATTCCTCATTAGCATCACTGGCCTTACATTACTTGTCTATACTCTACTTAGTGGGTTTCCATTATGGCAAATTGTACCAAAATATTTCTTTGTCAATAGATCGCCAGAAACATGTTACTTTGTGTGAGAAGATTACTGCACAACAACTGGAAACAGCTGACGAACAGGCCTTATTTTGTGTATTTTGTAGAGGGAAAGAATAGATGTGTGGGCAGATCTGTTGCCATATGGTGCTTTATTGAAATACACTGAATTGAATAGTCACTATTCAGAAAAAATATGGGGAAAATGCGTCAAAGACATTTCAGCATTCTATTTAGAAGTCCATCAAACGCTGTCTTCATTCAATAAAAAACAGCGAGAGAAGACCCCAGCGAGTCATTATTTGACAATTTGGGCTGTTTCTCTCTCTCACACACTTTTTGTTCTTAAAAACTGATCTAAATGATGTGCAAGAGGACAGAAATATATGCAGGTGACAACTATCCAGAATCAACATTTAATTTTTCTACATAGATCAATTGTTGCATTCTTTTAAAATAACGTACTCTAGCTTTAATGCGGAAGGCAACAGCTGAAAGAAGAGCATTACCATGAAAACGAGGAAGAAGATTCACAAAGAGTTGTGGTGGCAAGTGTGCATGCTTATACAGTTTGCAGAACTATAAACACATCCACATTTTTGTTTCAGTCTTGTACTGGCTAAAAACAACACAAATCAACCAAAAACAGCAGTAGATGCCTGTGAGTGAAAAACGCGTGTATAAACAATATTAGTGAAGGCAAATAGATGAACAGTAACGCGTCAAAAGCCAACACGATGAGCAGAAGCCTAATATTATAGGTGAGATACGAGACAGCACCATATATGGACCGAAGAGCGTAAACGAGGAAGTGTGGAGGGAGTGAAGTAGGAAGTGCCATTGCGCAGGCCCACCAGCCACAACACAGAACCATGTATTCCAGTCAAAAACCTAAATAAAATATTTAAGACGAAATACCCTTTACCCTGTACCCACGTTACAGTAGATTATAGTCACAAAAATTGTGCGCGATGAAATTAACAGAGTCACTGCTGTGATTTGTCATTGGATTCTCAACAGTTGCAGCTTTAAGACTGCATTGATAATATATGTGTTAAATACGCGATAGTAACCAGGCATAATAGTGTGATAATGTCATGGATCTACAGCCCGGCTCCTGGATCTATATAGCCTCGGTCCTGGCTCTACAGCCTCAGTCCTGGTTCTACAGCCTCAGTCCTGGTTCTACAGCCTCAGTCCTGGTTCTACAGCCTCAGTCCTGGTTCTACAGCCTCAGTCCTGGTTCTACAGCCTCAGTCCTGGTTCTACAGCCTCAGTCCTGGTTCTATAGCCCAAATCCTGGTTCTACGGCTCGTCTGTCTTGGGAGAGGAATCCACTCCCACATATAGGCCGACCCGAGATTTGTTCGTTTTTTTACCACTGGGGTTTTTGAGTCGTTCCTTGCCTATGCAGAAGGGTCTAATGACAGTGACATCGCTCGGTTCGCGCGGATGTTCAGCCCCCGGTGCGCTTACCCGGTGCCGCAGTCGACCACGCAGGCCGGTAGCCGTCCAGCCATGCCTGTGTCCGGTCCCGTGCGTAAAGGTGGAGGATGGAGAGGGACAATGTAAGCAACACAGCAGCGGCGCGTCGGGAGACCTGTTCTGCCCGAGCGCACTCTGCACTTCCGCACCAGGACCAGGTTCCAGGGGCAGAGGGAGAGGCAAGATGGCGGCGACGGGGCGGGGATAGGGGAGGAGTGTGTGTCCATCATGACAGCACCGAATATTCAAAATAAGGCCCCGTTTCCACCAGCCCAACTTGGCTCAACTCCACACAGGTCCATGGCTCTTCTGCACCTTACTGTAATGTACATTACACTTCTCCACTCAACTTATAAATGGCTCTACGCTACCACCTTGGTGTGTTTCTTGTTACGCTCTGGTACCATGTCCTGGCCACCATTGATCTATAACAAACCCACAACAAACCAGTATCCGGGGAAATTCCTGGATAACCATGGCGTCACTGTCAATCACTGTTAGGATACCAGCTGGGCCTGAAAAGAGCCCGGGTGTAGCTTGTACAAAAAAGTACCTCTGAAGCTAAGCAAGTCAGTGCCTGGTTAGTGCTGTGAAGAGAGACCTCTGGAAATTAAAGACCTTATGACGGATTTAAAAAAAAAAAATAGTGGATATCAAAATTGCATGACAATGTCAATTTGAAAGAGATTCCGGCAAAAAAAAATCCTATATTTTATAAAAAGAACGTGTTTTTCATGAATTTAAGTTGTCTATGCTCTAACCTGTGTGTGACGTCATAGCGGGTTACGCCCATGCATTGAAAACCATGGATCTATGCCACAGGACTGCCTTTTCTCTCTTCTCTCCACTGATGCCCAACACAATACTGCACTCTACAGGTGACAATTGCTCACTACACATAAATTGCCGTTTTGAGTGTGAAAAAGTGTCCGAGGTGGGATTTGAACCATGGATGTATTATATTAACTGGATAGGGTATTACTAGCTTGTAGCTGAATAACTCACGTGCTCAGGGGATTCTCGCAGTACTGCAGACTGAACCAGACTAAATTCACGTGGGCTACCCAGAAATTTTCCCCATAGAACTCAATGCATATTAAAACAGCTCAACCTCAGCTGACAGAGAACCTACAGCTTTAATAAAGATCGGATTTTGTGGGGATTTTAGTGTCCCTTGTCATCCTGAACTTTTTTTCTTCTTAAATCCTTCGGTTTTGTTTAAATCCACACTTTAGTGCCACAAACTCTGCTCCTCTGGCTCTCGCTCTAACTCCCGCTCTGATGAACTGCTCTGATTGGTCAGAGCGCAGCCGAGCCCCTCTGTGCACGTGCGTGAGACCCGGTGTGAGACCCACACACGCGTGTTTGGCGCAACGCATTATGGGAGATCATCCACTGCGCAGAACCGGGAGGACCAGACGATGCCCAAATACAGGCGAGTTTCCCATAGATCTTTGCGAGTTTCAGGCAACTTCCGCTAATCTTTCAGCCCCCATGCTGTCACAAAGCGCCACTGAGCACTGTCACTCCCGGATTCGTCCCGGAAACCGGATTCGTCCGGAAGTTCAGTTTGCTCATGTCAAAAAGTTTAATATGTCCTTAAGTGGTGACTGGTTAAGTTTAGGCGTCTGATTAAGATGGTTAAGTTTAGGGTTAAGGCTGGGTTGGGGTTATTTTATGGGAATGGCTGGTTAAGTTTAGGCATGAATAGGTAGTTTTTTATATTTACTTCCGCTTCCGTCCAGATTCCGTGACGTAATCTACTGCTGCCTGTGCTCATTGGATCAAACTGAACTTCCGGACGAATCCGGTTTCCGGGACGAATACGGGAGTGACAAGCACAACCATTCATTTGAATAGGGCGCCATCTTGGATCGCCGGGGCTTGATTTGAACACAAGTATCTGGATTGGCAGTCCATCGACACAACCACTGGACTATCTCAGTGACAACAACATACTACATTCTATTAGTTATTTTAGACTCGCTGTACACGGCCTTGTCATCTTGAATATCCGCGAAAAAAGAACGAATACCAAATTGTAAACAACTTACAGCGTTGAAACGTACCCGTTCTGACGTCACCAAGGGCTGTGAAGTTTTTTCGTTTCTAAGGGCGTTGCTATGGGGTTATTTCGATTTGGGGGGGATCAGACAAAAAAAAACAACAACTGATTTTGAAACCTTTAGTAGTTCTCTTCTAATTTAAAATGGTATTAAAACTGTATTTCTAAATAAATCAAACCCGTCATAAGGTCTTTAAACTACAGTAGTCATCCGGGTTATCGTCGCTGTATACTGAATAAATAATAAAATGAAGCATCTTTGAACTGAATAAATTCGATGTATTACGTCAAATATGTGTTTGACGTAATATGCTCCCACTGATGACTGCTGTCGTTGTGTCCTTGGGCAAGACACTTAACCCCACTTTGCCCAAAGCCCCCACTGAAAGATCAAGGCTATGCTCACACTCAGAGAGCAGCCGTCCTCCTGTGGACTCACCACCTGCAGAGGGTCAGTGAGGGGCTGGTGCTATGAGACTTGGGTGGCATCTCTGATTGCCACCCCCCTGACCCAGAAATGGATTAAAGGGTAGAAAATGGATGGATGGATGGACGTCAAATATGTGTTTTTTGTGTTACCAATCATAATGACCAAAATTTAAACGTGTACACCCCTTGCAAAGGCGTAAACTTGAGGGAATACTTTTCCCACTTCTTTGTCTGTTGCGAGTTTTGGAGCATGCGCAGTGTGTGCCGCCAGCTCACCTGACTTGACAGCAGCAAACCCAGATCCACAGAGCCCCACAGAGCCGAGAGAGGGCAAGCACGATTTGCGACTCACGGCAACTTCCGGTGACTCGCGTGACTCAGGCGCTCTGAGTCGCGGCTCACGCTCAGCATTCAGGGGTCGTGGCTCACGGTTATCAATTTAACTTTTTAGGGGTATCTGTGGATTATCAATGACACATTGTGGATCTGGAGGCATATATTTACAAGTAACCAGTATGTTACACACTCTTCATCATCTGGTATGTGTTTATATAGCTCTCCATGTTCGTTAACCACTGACTCAGGAGCTGTGAGTCGCGACTCATCAGTCAGAAGTCGAGGCTCACAGTTAAAAATACCACAAATCTTTGCTTTTTAGGGGTTTCTGGGAATTTCTATTGAGACAATATGGATCTGGAGGCATAGTTTACATGTAATCAGTATGTTACACACTCTTCATCAGCTGGTATTTGTTTGTATAGATCTCTATGAACTGTTCACCACTGACTCACAGCTCCTGAGTCGCGGCTCAGGAGCTGTGAGTCGCGGCTTAGCAGTCAGAAGTCATAGCTCACGGTTAAAAATACCACAAATCTGTGCTTTTTAGGGGTATCTGGGAATTATTAGGGGCAACAGTGACTCAATTGGCAGAGCTTTGGTCTTTGGACCTAATGATCGTGCCCCCACAACCACCTGCTCCCACTGAAGCAAGACGCCCCATCGTGGTATCTTATATACAGTCATGGGACCTCATGAATGAGTATGAGCACAAGTATGTGGAAACGGCACAAGTATGTGGAAACGGCACAATACTAATATTGGTATTGGTGCATCCTTAGTAAAATAAACAGACTCAGAATTAGCAGCGCAGGTTTACAGTCATAGTGCAAGTGGTTGATTAAGTGATACAGGCCTAAATACAGATTATTACATGTATTTGCAGGGCTTATTTCATATTCTAATGAAAAAGACTTTTTAGGAGTATTTATGAATTATTAATGTATCTGGATGAACATTTTCCATGTCCTCAGTGCCTCATACATACTTTACCAGCTGATATGTGTTTGTATTACTCTATTGTTAACAAGTGACTTACGAGACATAAGTCAGGACTCGTCTGCTGACACCAGGGGGCGCTGTCTAATCTCATGTTGAATCATGCACGACGTTGGACATCTCGCTTGCAATTTAAATTTCACCAAAATATTGAGGTAGGTTATTTTGTTTCGTTTTTTGGAATCTGTCTTTTAATCATTTTAACATTTTAAAGGGCATAACATTTAAACAGGAAAAAAAAAAAACTTGTGTAAAATTCCTTGGTTGTAATTCTGTGGCTTCAAAGAATACACAAAACTTGCAGATACAGAGCAGAGTGTATACTCCATAGGACAAAAGATGAGGCAAGGTGTATAACACAGGTTTGGTCACATAAGAAATAAATAACTAAAAAACCACTGAGACATTATTATTTGTTATTTATTAATAATGCTAAAGGCATTTGAAAAAATACATACAATACACAAACAAACACAATTATAAAAGCCACTTGTACCAATTTGTCCTTATAGTAATATAATGTGGATGACAAAGTGAGCCAAGAACCCAGAGTAGAGATTTCTTTGTCTTTGAACAAACACAAGCATCAGGGCATTTCATTTCAGGGCATTTTAATTCTAAAAAAAATGATTATTGTTAACTTTAGAGGATAGTGTGCTGAGGTGGACTTACTATTGTAAATAGAGAATTAAAGAGAAAGACCCTAATGACATAATTTTATATGATCATGTTACCGAACCCAGATGTTCAAAATACAGAATTCAAGTAACTTCTGTTGTGGTGAAATGTTTGAAGATGCTTATTTGAGCCTTTGGTGGCCCAGTGGCTGTATGACTGCTGCATGGCACCTGTACTTTCCCTCATAACTGCCTCCGTGATCATCCTGAATCAAATGTTTTAGGGTTTCCAAAAAGTGTAGCTCCCTTATACCCTTTAAACATCTGATCCTGGAGCATTATACAGGATACAAATGCAGTGGAAATACAGGTGTCATGCTGCAGCCATCAAGACATGTTTTTCTCCTTAATGCCTCTTTTCTCTCATTTCTTTTCTATGCAAAAATTAAGTGTAGTTAACCGTATTGTGGATTGCAGAACTACTGAGACGACACATCAAGATGAGCCACACACAGAAGAGAAGGAAAACAAACTTTATAAAAAAATGCACAACGTAATTCACTTTAATAGACCAATTATAAAGAATAAAGATTTGGTTTAGGTTTGATACATTTCAGTTTTGCACTTGGCTGTAGCTAATACATTTGCACACATTGCACTATAACATGAACATTTGTTTCCACATGAGCTGTTACTTTGTCTCCCAATACAGGAACATATACAGCTCAGTCATGAATAGCAGCAGAGTGGTGCCGCACATCACTGGAAGGACATGTTGAGCTACGTGCTAATGTATAGAATAAGCCCACACCTGTTCAAAAAGGTGTTGCTGCGGGTTCGAAGTAGTCATTCTGCGGCCTGCAGGACAGAGGCGTGTCGTGAAGTAGGCGTGTAAACTATGCCTCCAGATCCATATAGTCTCATTAGAAATTCCCAGATACCCCTAAAAAGCAAAAATATGCTGTATTTTAACTGTGAGCCACGACTCACAGCTCCTGAGCCGCGACTCACAGCTCCTGAGCCGCGACTCACAGCTCCTGAGCCGCGACTCACAGCTCCTGAGCCGCGACTCACAGCTCCTGAGCCGCGACTCACAGCTCCTGAGCCGCGACTCACAGCTCCTGAGCCGCGACTCACAGCTCCTGAGCCGCGACTCACAGCTCCTGAGCCGCGACTCACAGCTCCTGAGTCAGTGGTTAACGAACATGGAGAGCTATATAAACACATACCAGATGATGAAGAGTGTGTAACATACTGGTTACTTGTAAATATATGCCTCCAGATCCACAATGTGTCATTGATAATCAACAGATACCCCTAAAAAGTTAAATTGATAACCGTGAGCCACGACTTCTGGCTGCTGAGTCGCGGCTCACAGCGCCTGAGTCAGTGGTTAACGGACATGGACTGCTATACAAACACATACTAGCTGATGTAGAGTGTCTAACATACTGATTACTTGTAAACAATGCCTCCAGATCCATATTGTCTCATTGATCATTCCCAGATACCCCTGAGAAGCAAAGAATTGTGTTATTTTTAACGGTGAGTCACGACTTCTGGCTGCTGAGTCGCGGCTCACAGCGCCTGAGTCACGCGAGTCACCGGAAGTTGCCGTGAGTCGCAAATAGTGCTTGCCCTTTCTGACAGAGCCTCACAGAGAGCCTCCCAGAGAGCCTGAGGCAGTTGGCAGGGCAGTCCCTAGAGCCCGCACAGCAGCAGAATGATGTCCGCAGACTCTGGGAGCTGTGATGACCCTCTCCTCTCCTCTGAAGCGGAGAACAACCTGCGAAACACGGTGACCACCACACTCAAACACGGACTAGCTGCGGAAGTCACTCTCAAACTCTGACAAAAGCACTTTAAACAGTTGGAAAAGTCTGCAACTGTCTCCCAGGTCCCAGCTATACTCACTACATTCGGCCTTCACCGTGATAAGTGTCGTGCGGACGAGTGAGATCTGTTTCTAACTTCAGTCTGAGCTAATGCTAACGTTAGCCTGTTTAGTCAGATGAGTATGGATGTGTTTATCATCGGAGAAGATGCCATAGCGTTTGGTGTTCAATTCAATTTGGTTTTGTATCGCCCTAAATCACATCAGCAGTCTCGGAGGACTTCACAAAGTTGTCAAATCCTCAACATCGTATCAGAGATTAAACAGTTCTAACAAAGGAAATGCAATAACAAACACATGAGCCATTCGTGTTCATAAATGTTAATAAATGTCTCAGGTAATCACTTTCCATCCTGCATCGGCAAGTAACAACTTAACAAATAGAATCATTACTGTGCAGCTCAAAGAACTTTTTGGCAATTATAACATTATTCTAAACAGCACTTCAATTAAGTCAAAAAAGCGTTATTTGGGACCTTTTAAAGTCCCTGAGAACTGGACTCGGGCTGCAGCGTTTTGAATATATTTGTTTACAGCTTGTTTGGAAAGCCCAGTTAGCAAGGCTTTACAGGAACTTACTGGAGACAAATGCAGAAGAAGAATCTCCAAGTCTTCTCAAGACACTATATTTTTGATTCTGGCAATGTTTTTTTTTTTTTTTTCCCAGATGGTTAAAAAACATTAGTTTTTCATGTGGCTGTTTAGATTTAAGTCTGAGTCTAGTTTAGTTTAGTTTAGTTTATTCACAATTCACACAGTCCCTAAAAGTACATGTGTTACATAGTTACTCCTAGATTTCTGATGTGATTTAAAGGTCTTGCCTTAAATTCCCTCTAAATGGTACATGTCTGTGAGTGCTTTGTGCTGGCATGCGTGCAGCTTGGAGAGGACATGATCTGTTCAATGTTCTTAATGTGTTGATCATCCATGTGTTTAGATGGTGGAGAAAGTGGCGTCCTTGCTGAAGAAGCTGGAGATGAACGTGTCAGAGGCAGAAAAGAGGACGGGGAAGAACAGTGTGAACATGCAGGAGACGTACACCGCCTACCTCATAGAAACAAGGTCGGTCTTTTATTATACTGTAAGGCTCAGTCCCCCGGGTCGCCCCTTCTTCGTACACTGAGTGGTGTGTCAGAATGGCAGATTCTGTTTTGCTGAGGCATGTTAAGTGTGACAACTCTGACTCTGCTCCCCCCTTATTGGTGCCAGGTACTTTTTTAGTAACTACTTGGTCCTGGTTCTATCCAGGCCGAGCTGGTACTAAAGTGTTCCAACTGCCAGTGATTGTTTCGGCATTTTCTATCACAACTATTTACAAACTGTCAACCCCCAGAGAATCAGAGAATCAAACAGTTAAAAAACAAAATGTGCAATGCTAAAAAACAAAACACAGAGCTGCTTCCATACTGTAGATCCAGGACTGACAGTGTAGATCCAGGACTGACACAGTAGACCCAGGACGTGGGCAGGGAAGACAGTCCACAGGTGCTGATGAAAGAGGCCAGATTCAGGGGTCCCTTCATCACAATATGAAACAGACTATGTGACAGCCTGTTAAATTCATTGAGCACTTTTACAGAAATTCATAATGTCGTATTAAATGGATATGTAGTGGAATATTTGTGTCAGAAGAATGCCACTGATCTCAAACTGGCTGTGACAGAGGACATTGGTTTGCATTTAGGCCAGCAGACTCAGGCCCTGATGGAGGCACTCCGGTCCCTGACATGCTGTGGAGACGCTACAGTGAGTTTGAGCTGCTGCGCACTTACCTGCTGGTCACCTATCCGTTTATCATCATCCCTCCTCTGCCAGAGAAACGGGTGAGTCCTCACTTTCACACACTCCTCATACACTCTTCATAGAGGGTCATCAACATGAGTCACTATTTGACGCTGCTGAACGGGCTGAGAGTAGGTCTGAAAAAGCTGATCTAAACATGTGACAGAGGCCAAAGTCACTGCACATGTGGAAACTAGAGACCAAACTATCCTATTGCCAGGAACTAGAGACAAGCGTCTCACCATGTGGCGAGAATGAAAAAATGTCTGAACCTTGTAAAGTTGTTTTGGTGACCATGGTCTGTAAAAATGAACTATATAAATATTACTTAATTACAATTGTATAAAATAAAACGTATATGAAGCAAGCAAATTTGAGTAATTAACAATACCAACTGCATATGCTATACAGTTGGCATAGTTGTCATTCCTATATGGGGATTTGAGCTGACCCGAAGTCTCTGATTGTTTGGTCACAGGCTGAGTTTGTGTGGCACAAGCTGTCTGCAGATAACCTGGACCCTGACTTTGTGGAGCGGCGCAGAGTGGGACTGGAAAACTTCCTGTTGAGAGTGGCATCACATCCTCTTTTGTCCAATGACAACATCTTCTTCCTCTTTCTAACTGATGTGAGTTACTCTGGTCTATATCACCAAGCACTTTTGTCACGGGGGCAGTTATGCAGACTTATCCAGGGGCCATCAACCCGGATTGTAAAGCTGTTTCATAAGTCCTGATTTAAGTGTAAGGCTGTCTCAAAGTCTTCTGGCTTATGGTTAACCTAAACCTGCAAAGTAAATTATGTCTGTGTTTGTAACCTATCGAACACTATTGATATTAACCAATGTGTGATGAGCTCATCTAGTGCTCCTGAGAGTATTGTCAGTGCAATACCAGATTGTAGCGATCAGTTTACCACCTGAACACACAGTAGGCTTTTGGGAGAATGTAGAGTGAATAAACACCTCTAGACTTTAAACAGCAGCAGTGGAATTATGACGTCTTGCATTTGTTTTTGACTTCTGTTTAATTGTAAATGGTTTTGATCAGGAGAAAGGCTGGAGAGACACTGTTATGGAGACTGGTTTTCAGGACAAGGTAAGAATATGAATAGTTTGCCCTCTCAGTGTAATCTCTACCATTTTTAATATACCTTATCTATTCAAACAGGTGGACTCGCGGCTAAAGTCACTGAGCGCCTCTTTTCGAGTCAAAAACCCAGACAAGTATGTTCACAGGGAGCCGATTGGAACATTCCAGTTTTTCTAACCACTAAAACCCAATTATACAGGCGATTCACAGCACTGAAACAGTCCTGCGACGAGCTCCACACAGTCTTGTCCCAGCTTCTGCGCGTGCGGGTGGTAAGTCTCAGAAGGAAGCTTTGTGTTAAACCTAAAAGTCCATAATATAGAGTTATAGTATAACACCACTAAAGTTATCTAAAGCTGAGGTTGAGGCTGTAACTAAGTGTAACATAACATTTTTTGCCAACACTCATCATGTGATGGTCCAATAATTCCTACAACAATACTTTTAACCCCATTACATTATTTAATTCAATGTATTTGTGCATAGCCCTAAATAAACTGTAATCTCGAAGACTGTACAAATTTGTCAATTCTTCAACAACAGATCAGAGAATCAAACAAACGCGTAGAGGCCATTGGTCCATAGGGAGCGGGATGACCCCTCTCCACAAATATCCCTAAATGTCACACTGCATCGCTCAAGTAGGATTAACATATTAATTTCTCAAAGTTTTCATTTCTATTTGCTCAGAGAGTCGCTGACCGTCTGTATGGAGTCTACAAGGTGCATGGGAATTATGGGCGTGTTTTCAGCGAGTGGAGCGCCATAGAGAAGGAGATGGGAGATGGCCTGCAAAGTGCTGGACATCACATGGACACGTGAGAGACCAGCACCCTTTATACTTCATAATGTACCATAATGAGTACATGAAGGCCGTGCGTGTGTTTGTAGATATGCAGCCTCAATAGATGACATTTTAGAAGAAGAGGAGCACTACGCCGACCAGCTCAAAGAGTATCTGTACTACACTGAGGCTGTGAGGTGAGGGTGTGTTTGCCCATTACTATAATTCCTATATTCACTTATTGGTCAATAAATAATCGCTGAGCTTGTATATATATATGTGTGTGTGTGTGTGTGGTGCAGGTCCGTGTGTCGGAAACATGAGCTGCTACAGTACGAGCTGGAGATGGTGGCTCAGGACCTGGCCTACAAGAAGCAGCAGAGGGAGGAGCTGGCCACTGGGGTGATGACACGAACGCACACACACAGACACAAAGTCATCATCTCTATCCACAAAGTTTGCTTTTGTTACTAGAACAGGGTTTATGAACTAGGAATGACCAATTGGGACTTCTTTTTTTGGTCTCGTTTAACAGTAACGCCAGTATTTTAAAACCCAGAATAGAGAGGCAGTGTCCCTCTCTCCCGCACAACACTGCACTACGAAAGGCCGGGAACTAGGGGCCGTGCCCTGGGGAACACCTGAATCCGTGGGATGCGTAGCTGCCCGTGTTGCATAGCCTCGTACAGCAAGAGAGCAGTGAGGTGTTTTTGTATTTGAGCACTTTGATATAGTGTGAATAGGTAACAACAAGTCACACATAAAGGGAAAACAGCCCATTTACTACTAAAGTGAATAAAATCTGTGGGACTGCTCTTTGATCTACCACTGGTTCAACGTAACAACCCTGCTCTCACGACTGTATACAGGAGCAAAGGGAACAAAACCAACACAAAATTAAATGCACATGTCCTTGTTTGTTGAGTCTTTCTCATCTGAGCGGGATGACTCCTTACCCCTCCATTGTACTCCTGCTGTCTGCATCCAGCCTTGTGTTTCCAAGAGTTGGTGTAATTAATCATAAAAGCCTCTGACACTCTTTAATGCCGCTCATGACCCAGAAATGAACTTCAAAGCTTCACCTCAACCTTCCCCTTCACACTTCTTTCTATAGTTTTGTAAATTCAAATATATAAATGTCAGTGTATTGTGCGTGTGTGGTTGCAGACGGTGCGTGTATTCTCACTCAAAGGCATGACCACAAAGCTGTTTGGTCAGGAGAGCCAGGAGCAGAGAGAGCAGAGGCTGTCTACCCTGGAGCAGGCCATAGGGGAGTGTGAGGAGCTGCTGAAAGAGAAGAACCAGGAGAGCCAGTGAGTTACACACATATACACAAACACACACGCACACTAAGAGACACACATGAAAGCTATCAGTTAACCCTTTTTAAGGAATAATGTCCTGAAAAACACACTAGAACACACATGGCTTTTCCTGTGCAAATCCACACAAATGCACAACTCCTGGGCTAATTTACATTCCACAGACGTCCTCCGGTAAAACCAATCTACCTTGAAAAGTATTGTGACATTTATACCTCATTTTTCTGTAGCTCTGTTCATCCACAAGGGAGAGCTGTAGCACGATTTCAGTGAACTTGGTTAGTGTTATGCATAAAAACAGTCGACTGACCGTTTAGCCCTGTTGGGCAAGTTACTTCCAAGACAATACTTTATGTATTACTTATTACTGTTGTTAGTAGAGTTGTTGGATTTTCATTACTTAAGTTACATTCCAATATCAACTGTTTATTCATAATAATGTATTGCACTACAATATTACTGTTTCTGAATTGTAATGCATTACGCTACTAGTAAGTAAGTAAGTAAGTTTTTATTTATATACCGCCTTTTCACTGCAGATCTGAGTCTCAAAGCGGTTTACAATTGTTAATTTTGGGCATTTGTCTCTCACTCCACACAGAGATGGGAGCGGGGTCTACTACTGCATTACTTTTGAATTATGTTCTCCTAAAACTTGTTTTCTTTTAACATGGATTAGGATCTTTTTTTTACTCTTATTGCTGACCTAGTCCTGGCTCAGAACTGGCTCAGAACTGGTTCACAGCAGATCACTGCTTTATTTACTAAACTTGATGGTAATCATTCTTGCCGCTGTTTTAAACGTATTTTCCGGCCGCTGACAAGTGTCTGCCTCTGTCTCAAACAGGACTCTTGAGAGGCTCATATCTCTGTTAATATTTACTCTTTTTGGATGATTTAAATCAAACCAGAGCTTAGACTCTCATCTATCACATATTCTGCTCTTTTGCAAACTCCAACCGCTGAGCATGAGGGCAGAGTTAAAATACGAAGTAACTCAAGTTACTGACCTTTTTACTGAAATAAATATTGCCCAGTTTTTAATTTGTAAATCCTTACATTACTGCGTTATAGCAAACAATAATACAGTAATTACACAACTTTTGTTATACCCTCAACACAGCTGTTTAGTGTATAAAACCATAAATAGGATTGTGTATTGTTTTTATGGTTGTTAATTTAATGACCGCCTCGTTTAGTTATGGAAAATAGTTTCAATATTGTTTGTCAAAGTGAATTTCCTAATTTCATTTTTTAAGTTGTCTGTAGACTGGTGTCTTCGATTCAATCTTTGTAGTATACCAATTTAAAATGTGCAATTGAGTATCAGGTATGTGTAAAGCAGACAAAAGCAGGTCTGTGGCTGACTCCTGTGCCTCTGCCTCCTGTCAGGGACTTTATCCAGGCTGCGTGGAAAGACATAGAACGTTTCAAAGAGCAGAAAGATCGAGACCTAAGAGAAGCCCTCATCAGCTACGCCATCATGCAGATCAGCATGTGCAAAAAGGTAAGTGTCCTGTCTGCCTGGACTGAGGGCAGAATCATTCAGGATGGCACGGTGGCTCAGTGGTTAGCCCTCTTGTTTCTCAGCAAGAAGGTCTTTGGTTTGTATCTCGTACAGAACAGGGCCTTTCTTAGTGGAGTTGGCACAAACATGTCACAGGTGTACACTTGGCTCTACCTCTGCTTTCATCTGTCACAATGGTTTGCCAAAGTGTTAATCTCCTGCCTGTGTGCAAGTACAACATTACATTTTATTCATCCATTGATTTTCATCCCCTTATCCTTTTCTGGGTCAGGGAGTGGCAATCAGATCTGCCACCCAATTCACAGAGCACCAGCCCCTCACTGATCCTCCTGCAGATCCTCCTATGTCCGAGGGTCCACTGTAGGATTATAGTGTGATATATTCCTGTTTCCAGTTGGTCCAGCTCCAAGTGCTGTATCGATGCTCTTTGTGGTTCTAACTGTTCTCTGGTGTTCTTAGGGAATCCAGGTGTGGTCCAACGCCAAGGAGTGTTTCAACAAGATGTGAGGAGCCCTCTGTACAGCTGGAGAGGTCTTCTCACACTTTTACTGCTCTGAGCATTTCTTTAGTAAATTAGCTTCATGAACGTGTCCCAACTTGTTCAAAAGACAGGTTAGACAACACATTTCACTGAAATACTGTCATTACACTGTTGTTGTCAACCGACCATCTCTAGCAGAACATAGAAACTATTATTTGATTTAGTCTTTTGATTTATTGAATGAATCCTGAACATGTGTTTGTGCCAAATTTACTGATGAAAACCCAACAGTTACAACAGTGTGATGGATCGATGCTTCATTTAAAGGGTTAGTCTTTTTTTTCATTTTGAAATGCATCTACTTATTTTATATATGTCAACAGATAACAGGTCACATGATTACAGTCTAAAATGGGGTTGTTCTTAATTGAAAATGCAATAGATAGACAGATGGATCGGGGGCAGGATGGTCTCATGTCAAGGTGGAGCTCTAGAAGGATCGGTCATAAGTCCTGATCTCCCTGGGCAGGCTCTGAAGGACAGGTCCGCTCCTGGTGTCCTTATTGTGTTTATGTTTACAATTTTCATTTGGGTGAAATTTTTTTAGGCTTTTGTTTTTTATTAACAAAGTTCATACATAGCTCCACACATACAGTATTTAAACAGAAAAAGATGCAAAAGAAAGTCACGTGAATTCTAAACTCTTAACAGGTGGATTGCATCAAGTAGTCAGTGCTTATGAGCTACATGAGTCACAGGAGGAAGGTTCTGACAACCAAAGTGTGATTCCAATGACTTGTTTTAGGCCACTCGGCGTGCATATTACATACTGTCTCTGTAAATTCAAGATTATAGAAGCTGACAGCAGCCAGGACAAAAGATACAGAATTTATTGTTTAATCCACTTACACCATGGTCAAGACACTCAATAAAATACATATATTTTGTCCTATACACTCTCAAAAAACATGCTTGAAGAAAGGGACTACAACAGACTACAGCCTGGATAGATTGAACTGTTTGTCTTGTTCAATCTATCCAGGCTTTAGTTCATATAAGGAGAACTGTATGAAGTGTAGTAAGAGGAGTAGGAAGATCTGTTTGTAATGGCTTTTGTAATGACCAAATGACTTTTGTAATGACCAGCTCAGTTTTAACATACTTCTACCAGAGGTCTCATAAAAGATTCATATGAGCAGTAGTAGTAGTAATATTGGAAGTGGTTGTATGTTTTTTTCGTTGCCTGGTCTGTGTTTAGAGTGAATCCCAGCTCCTCTGTCCGCTCCTCTTCTCTGTCACGTCTTAATAACTGCGCTCATACCACAGGACAAGGTCACAGAAAGCCCCTGATCCTGGGGGCAGTCTGCATTTAAAGCACAAACAAGATGCAATATTTTTGACCCTTAAACACCAAAATGAGATTTTGACATGAAATCATTAAGAAAATATATAGATAAACATGTGTTTTTCTTTAGGAACTATGAAGAAAACGACTCTTGACTATGATAAAACAGTGTATTAGTCATCATAGTGTAATAAGTTGGAGACTGGAACATTTAGACAGAAGGGAAGTTCCTAATATTGCTCAAAACGGTTCTGTATTGGGTGGGACAGAAGCTCTGGTCAATATATACTGTATCTGATTGTAGCACAACAGTTAAGTTTCAGTTAGCTGAACAAAAAATTTAAAAATGAATCCCTCCACCTGAGATCTCATCAGGTTCAAATACAAGATCATAAGTTATTTATTTAACGAGAGAACTGTGTTAATTCATATTTATATTTGTCTATTGTATTATTGAGACAAGGGTGGTCCAACCAGGAACGGACAGTGTGATCTTGGCATTGGCAAACCTGGTGTCATCCTGAATAAAACCTTTTGCAGGCTGGCAAACTCTTTTTGGCCAAATGTAAATAATATCTGGATTTTTTTTATAGCTTCTTTTAAGTAACTGGGAATATTTGTTTTACTTTTGTATTAACATTATGAAAAGATTTTGACATAAGGATTACTTTTATTTGACAGGAGCATAAGCCCCGTTTCCACCAGCCTGACTCGACTTGTTTCTGGTTCCCGAATACTTTAATATCTGGTACTTTATTCTAGCAACCTACTCACAGCAACCCAGAATCTGCAGACATTCCATGGCTTCTAGCAGCGCTCTGGCCAATCACTGTCAGAACGCGTTTAACCTGCTACCGGTTAAAAGGGGCCTGTGGAAACTCCCTATCAGGGTAGAGTAGAGCAGAACCGAGCCAGACCGGGCTGGTGGAAACGGGACTATAATGAGTTAAGTTACTGTTTGGATTGATTCAAATCAAACAAAGCTACCACACACTTTGTAGACTGACAGGCCAATTATACGTTTTGAAATGGTTGATTTCTTGAGAGGATTAGCTTTAACATGAGGTATAACATGGCATGGGTCCTCTTATCATCAATCTTTATTCTCAATGAGAATCAAACAAGGGCCTGTGCTTTAGTGAAATGAGCTGTCTAACCTGTCATATGGGCTTCAAAAGTCAACTTTCTGTGTCAAAAGCAGTTGTAAATGTTGTGTTTATAGATTTTTATGAGAGATTTTCAAACGTTCGGACCCATAACCCAGCTGTGCCTTAAAATCACATCACGCCTACTTGAAAGTTTCACTTGTGTTGAGTTTGTCGACATTGATGGTGCGACTGGAACTGCTGGCACTGCCCAAATGATCCACTTTAAATAATTATTTTTGCTGTTTGCCAAAGTGCAGTCTATAATTTGAATACATTTGATTTTGCTTGTTTTTCATTGTTGCACAAATGACTTTCACACAATGCCTTAAATGTCTTTATACGTTGTATGTTTTTAATGTTGTTAATATGAATTGTTTCATAATTTTTTTGCCAAAACACTAATAAAATTGTATGTTTACAAAAGAGTTTTTTTTTTCTGCACGCATCAGCTGGATATGAGGGCATTAAAAAAGCCTTTCCACAGACCGTATATTAGGAGTGGACTGATAGTGTGACATCACCATAGTGTTTGGCTGAGAGTGAAGGAGGCCCATTTTAAATAAAAATGAGATGAAGTAGCTTCATGTCATGACAATAAGATGTGTTGCCCCTGCCAATTCCCCCTTAATTGAAGGCATCTGATTGGTCGTTCCTACATCTCATATCTACATTTACATCAACAATATAGAGCGCAGAACCAGATTTTTTGGTGAGTATATGGTGAATGTGACACAAGCTGTTACTCAGGAAGAGGAGTTTACTTTACAAAGTGAATAGGAGCTATAATTTGAGAACATTTTATTTTATCCTGTGAGCCCAGGTGGCCCAAGAGCCTTCCCAAGAGGGGGTGGTCCAAGCCAAACCAGACCTGTGCTGCCATAATCCAGAACAAGAGTATATAGACATTCTTAAGTGAACAGCATCAACAGTTTAAATAATAGTCAATGTGAATAGGTCAACCTGACGGCTGAGTGGTTGGCGCTCTCAGCAAGAAGGTCCTGGGTTTGATTCCATCTCCACACAGAGCCTTTCTGAGTGGACTTACCATATTCTCCCCGTATCTGTATGTTTCTTCCTGGTGCTCCTGTTTCCCCTACCACTAAAAACTTGCACAAGAGTCCCCCTCCCTCTTGGGCCAGGACTCTCCTGAGAAACGGATTCTGAAATCCCAGTTGGACTTTCCTGGTTAAACCTTGTGCTCCCTTCAGGTCAAAATTACCTGCAGCCGTGATTAAAAGTGGACACTTTGTGTTAGGCCCTAACCCAAAGTGTCCACTTTTAATCACCCTGATATAGTCGGGTTAGGGTGTCTAACCCTAACCCTAACCACCACCCTAACCCGACTTTATCAGGGTCTGAAGCACAACGATCAATCTACAGTATATTGAGTCCTTGAGGATGCAGTTTAGAGGTGGAAGAGGTGAGTGTTTGCTTGTGGAAAGAAGTTTATTAAGTTTCCACCTCCAAGGGGCAGTGTGACATCTTCATTTCAGTGTGTGTGTATGTTTCTACAGCTCCAGTGGCAAACACATCAGCTGAGCACACATGGACCCACCCACTGCACTTTGGAGTTCACTCTCACTGTACGAACGTATGTCATGTCCACACACCATGTCCCAGAAGACGTATTCACAATACTCAAACCACAAACTACACAGATGGACAATGCTAACCCAATAAGGAAGTGCTCATGGACGGAGTTTTACTCTAAGTCACTCGGACTCCTATGTCCTCTCGCTCAATTTGTGTCTCATGGGCTCACATGGGCTTAAAAAAACAACTAAAACGACTGTGATAACTGGACACATGATTTGATTATGCACATGGCATGTATTCTTATTATATTTTATTTATTTGTTTGGCATAGTGTGTAATAATGAAAATAAGTGCTATAAATGTACTGCATTGTTTCATGTATCGGACTGTTGTAATGAAGAGGGGGCAGTGTCTACAGTCGGAGCTTTATCGGACTGTTGGGGTGAAGAGGGGCAGTGTCTACAGTCGGAGCTTTATCGGACTGTTGGGGTGAAGAGGGGGCAGTGTCTACAGTCGGAGCTGCATCGGACTGTTGGGGTGAAGAGGGAGCTCGAAAGGTGAAACTCTCGATTTACTGGTCGGTCTACGTTCCCACCTTCACCTCTGGTCATGAGCTTTGGGTAATAACTGAAAAGACAAGATCGCAGATACCTGAGGTCAAAATAAGTGGTGGGGCGCTCCCTTGGAGATAGAGTGAGGAGCTCAGTCACATGGTAGGGCTCAATGTAGAGCCACTTTCTCTACAGAGGCATCTGTGTCTTCTGGATGCCACCCTGGCGAGGTGATCTAGGCCTGTCCCACCGGGAGGAGAACAGGGGAAGAAATAGAGTCGCTCCAGTGTGTCCTGGGATGAGGCATGGGATCCCTCCAAATGAGTTGGAAGAAGGGTGTGGAGATAGGAAAGTCTGGGCGTCTGCTCAGACTTCTATGCCCGGCCACGGATAAAGCAGAAGAAAATGGATGAATGTTCCTTGGGCTAATTTCCATCTGTTGTGTC